AAATTGCTATTTTCTTTTCATCTAGCTTACTCCCAAAAGAAGGAAAAATAAGGACCAAACTGCAACTGGACCTGGAACTGCTGTCAGAAGTGAAGCTGGAAGTGAATCTGGAGTTGGTGAAGCTGGAGTGATGAAGATGCATGCAATTGCAAGTGGAAGTGAAGTTGGTTTAGAGGGGGAAATAACTATAGATTTATTGACTGAAGCACTTGAGGTAACTGCTATGTTTGACAATGTTCCTGAGGTTGGAGTGGGTGTTCAGCAAGAAGAAATGACAATAACTCAACCCCAAATGGACTTTGACATGTCTTAGCCACAAATTGGAGCCCAAGTGACCCAAGCATGAACAATACAAACCACACCTTTCAAGACTCCCAAGGTTTCAAAGACTATCAAGACTTCCAAGACCCTACATGTGAGAAGATATGACACTAGATCTAATCAGAAGTTAAAATTCACCAACACCATTGACACACCTCTTACCATTGATTAAATGCATGGACTGTTGTAGTTCAAATGAATATTTTGCTAGCTGATGTTTTGTTACTGTTCAAGCAGTGTAATCAACTTCTAATGTTTTGCTACTTTTGGTAGTCATTGTATATGTTTTTAACTCTTTTGGTAATGTAGTAAGGCAGTATATGCCCTTTGATCATTTGGTTTTTGTCATTTACATTATGGTATTTGTCATTTGGTCATTTGGTAATGCAATGCTATTTGGTCATTTGGTTATTGTCAATTCATTAGCCAAGGCAGTAAGTCACTATGGCAGTAAGGCAGTAAGTCAAATTGCACATAACATACAACTTTTATTGCAAAACAGACAGTACATTATGGGAGCTTTACACCTAAATTATCATTCTTCCCTACAACGAAACAACTCATTACCACAACAATAACAACTACAACAACCATCATGGATTTACATTTTCCGCTCCCTATGCTTCTCCTTCATTTCTTCCAATTGTTCTTCATTTCTTCCACTTCTCAACTTGACTTTTAAGCTTGCAATTTCTTCTTCATTTTTGTTAATTCTCTTCAATAGCCCGGGTATTATCCTCTTTGACCTATGGCACATTGGGGGATCATACCACTTCACAAACCCACATGGTCCATCTTGAAACTTGCACAAATTCAACTCAGATTTGCAAAATTGAAAACTACAAAATTGACCCATAGTAACAAATTCAAAATTAAGAACAAATATACAAACCTTACATCTTGAACATTCCAGTACCTCCTACTTGGATTTTCTTTTGTCCATGAAGTCTTCAAAACCATTTATTGCTGACATTGACATTGTTGAATTGAAATCCATTCCCCATACACGTAGCACTTCCTCATTGTATTTGAAGAATTGGAATAATAGGAAGAATTAGAGTTTTTTCCTTTGTATCTTTCCATTCTAGCTAACTTTGGAATGCTAGATTAAGATGGGTAGAAGAAATCGGATGCAATTTTGCAAGGAAAGGGATAAGAAACCAGTTAAAAGAGTAAAGAGAAGCTAACACATGAATTGACGCAATTGCCCTTGGATTTCACGGCTATCAGATGGAAAAGTTAATGATAGACCAAAAGTGGAACACTTAAAATAAGAGTGGTTGCAATGTGGCAAGGTAAATAATGATGGACTAAAATTGGAATGCACCCTATAACAGTAGGACAAAAAATGGAATTAACTCATTGGGTCGCTACTAGGATTGTTGGAATAGAGATTGATTGTGATTGGTGCTACAAATCGTGTAAGACTATTGGGTGTAACAAAAAGCTGGCTAAAAAAAGATGGTCTATATGAGTGCTACAAGTATAAGCGTAGTTGGGCTGATGAGTTTTGAGGTACAGATTGAAAGTGCAAGTCGTTGTTAAGGATGGTAATGCACCATTCCTTTTATGGGATAAAGAGTGCAATCAACTGTTAGGCACTATGGCAGTACACCTGAAGGAAAAATATCCTTAAGTGTGTTTACTTATACTAATGATTTGTATTTAATATGATGCACTTGGTCAATCTTTATCTCACAGGGTCTTATATTGTGTATGTAAGTAACAAAGTCCCAAAATGTGTTCCACTGGTGTTAGTTTTTGAAAAAAAAAAAAAAACACTTTTGACATCCATTTGATATACTTTAAACTCTATGTGTATTGCATATGCTAGGAAAATCCTTATTGCTTCCAATTGAGCTACATCAAAATCTATACCTTCCTCTTGACAATAACCCTTAGCTACAAGCCTTGCTTTGTTCCTAACAATCACTCCATCCTCATTCATCTTATTAAAAAAAAACCCATTTTGTGCCAATCACGTTTTAATGGGTTGGTCTAGAAACAAGTTCTCAAACTTGATTCATCTCAAACTGATTCAGTTCTTCCTACATGGCTTCTATCCAGTTGGAATCACCCAAAGCCTCTTCCACTGACTTTGGTTTGAGCTGAGAGATCAAACATGCAAACATCGCTCAATTTTGCTTTGTTGATCTAGTCCGAACTCCTTCATGAACATTGCCAATAACTAGTTCAGGTGGAAAACCTCTGAGCCATCTTAGATCAGGATTGATATTAATCTGAAAAATTGAACTCCTTGCAACATCTTCAGCTGCTTCTGGAACAACTCCTTCCTACTAGTCACACCCAGCCTGTGCGTTAGCTGACTACATCCCAACATATGCTGGTGCATTCACTTCATTGGAATATGCTACAGGTTGAACTACTTCGATATCAACTTCTTCATCATCACTTGAAAAGGGTATGGGTTATCAGCTAAACTGATGTTTGGCTTATCAAATACAAAATTAATTGATTCTTCAACAACCATAGTTTGTTTGTTCAATATGTTGGAGAGTTGGTTGGAATAAACCCAATAATAATCCTACGAAAAAGGATTATTATTTTTATGGAAAATTTTGGGAAAGGATTATTGCACCATGAAATTTTGCGAAAGGATTTTTTCCACTACATAATGTTGTTGCTGGGAATCGAACCTGATTTTTTTTTTTAAGGGGAGACGCGCGTTTTTAATAAAACGACCGTATGCACCATGCTAGATCTAAATGTTAGATCTAAATGTTTTTTAAAAAAATGTTAGATCTAAATAATCTAACGATACAGAATTTACTATACGAATAAGAGCCCAAGAGAGTTAGGCCTATAATGGGTAGAAAAAAATGGCGGTCAAAATTTTTAATCAAATGAATGGCTCATATTGATCAGATTTTAATTTTTCCTTAAGATTTTTGAATTTATCCTTAATGAATATGATTATCTGTTAACTTTTCCGTTAAATATTATCTTTTCCGTTAATTTCTGTTAGTTCACCGTTAACTTACTCATTGATTTCAATAAGAAAGGTCTTAGGTTCGAACCCCATCTCAATCAAAGTTGGCATAATTAGTACTCCATTTTACTCTTATTAAATTTAGTACTCTGTTTTACTCTTATTAAATTAAATAATAATTTAGTAGCTACAACAAAAAATAATACATATGCATTTCTTTAATTTAGAATTATGTGTCTACAATGTCTTTATTCAAAAAAAAAAAATTATTCATTATCAATAAATTAAATAAGAGAAATAATTTCATTAGTTATATTGTCTTTAATTTTCTCCAATATAAAAATTCTTTACATTCAAATTCATCAATTGATTATATTCGCTACATTGTCCCTACAATGCCCCTTTATTAAAAAAAAAAAAAATTATTCATTATCAATAAATTAATTCAGAGAAATAATTTTATTAGTTATATTGTTTTTATTTTTCTCCAATGTAAAAATTCTTTACATTCAAATTTATCAATTGATTATATTCACTACATTGTCTATTATCTTTTTTGTGCACTATTTTTTTAATTAAATATCAAAATTATAATGCAAAATAATGCTATATATTTATTTACCAAGTATTTTATTAATATCATGAAACTATTTAAAAAAAATATAATTAATAAAGCCAATCATATTAACTACTTAAGGGATTTGTTGACAGAGAGAGTATTCAAATCACACAACAAATTGAAGTGAGAACTATCTCGCAATGTCCTTGTTTGACAATCAGCAGTTAGCAATTAACATTAGCGAATTTGACCAGCGAATTATATCAACGGTTGGTAAAAAGATATTTGAAAAAATTAGCTGTTTAGATTAACATGTAAAATGACCTAAGGGTATACATATAATAATAATAATAATAATAATAATAATAATAATAATAATAATAATAATAATAATAATAATAATAATAATAATAATTGTTTTTTAAAAAATAAAAAATATATATAATTAAGCCAATCATATTAATTACTTGGAGACTTTATTGACAAGAAGAGTATTCAAATCACACAACAAATTGAGGTGAAAAATTACCTCGCAATGTCTTGTTTGGTAATCAACAGTTAGCTCTTCAATATTAGTATATATTTAATATTTTATGCCCTAATTTTTATTTGCTCTCTCTTATGTCCCGTATTTAGTTTCAACTATATCTATACAATTATTTTATTGACAATTATAATCAATCTTAACTATATTATCTTGCATTTGTATACTTAGAATTACCTATTTAAATACGTAAATTCAACATTAAATTATCTATGCATGAAAAATTTCAATATAATCTTGCCTTAATATACTTAAAAGTACTTATTTAAATAAAACATTGGGCATTATCCCAATCGTGCAATGCACGTAAATAACTAGTAATAGTATACCAGAGACCTGACCTTGTATCAGCGGAAGCGATAAACGTCTTGATCTCCGGCCACAGTTGATGTTCCTGTATTGTCACGGTAGACCGTTAGCCATGTTTTATCTCAAATTAGACTCAGAGACTCTAGATGGTATATTGCTGTCTACTGAGGAGTACCCTATTGTATGTGATATCTAATCTATAATTCTGTATCCCATTAATCTAAGTTTATATTAGACACAAATTTAATTGACTAACAACTTCTAATTATTCAGTTTAACTAACCACTTAATAAGCTTACTTAACTCTATCTGCGGTGGCTTGGGAGGCATTTCCACCGGGGCAGTTATCCCAAGAAAGCACTTCAGTTCTTTTCTTTCTGATTTGATCCACCATTACAGGAAGGAGATCGAGGAATCTGCAAGAGAACTAACAATGTGGAAGTCCATTTTGGGAGAAGATGAAGAGCAGCAAGACAACTATTTTGACGATCAAGAAGGGCTCTGCGCTATATCTCCTCTTCAGGTAGCCATTGCCATTCAGCGCTTGAGCTTCGAGATTCCCTATTTCATTTCCGAAGATTCAATCCTTACTTAAAAGTTTAAAACCCCCCATATGGGTTTCTCACTCTTTTTGGATTTTGGTTGTGCAGAGAGTATACGGATTCGCTGCTTGTATGGTCGCCGGAATAGTCTGTATGTTCTTGGTAATGACCACCCCGGTACCCTAAATTTTTGTTTTTGCTTTTTCTTTGAGTTGGAACTGTGTTAGAGACGGGATTGGCTCTTAATTCTCTTGTTTCTCCGTTTATACAGTAGGTAGAGAAGTTCCTAGGTTTCTTACCAAATGGGACAATATTTCGTTTGATTGCTAATTTTTTGTTTTGTTTTGTTTTGTTTTGTTTTGTTTTCAGGCATTTATAGTTTTTGTCAATCCCATCAAGTTTGCTCTTTTGTTCACATTTGGCAACCTGTTGGCCATTGGAAGGTAGGTTTTAATCAAATTACCTCAAAGCAAATTCATCTCAATATTTATGATTTTATGATCTCAGAGGTGCTACTACCAAAACAATAGTTACGTACTGTCCCTTTGGTGGTGTGGCCTTCATTGCAGAGCTATTATAAAATTTAGACACAGCTTCTTGCAAAATTTTTCAGTTTGAATACTTTCGCGAAATATTTTAGTGTTAGGGCCAGGTTTAGAATTCTCATTCAATTCTAAGTAGCTGGGGGAGTGCCAACTACTATGTAGTGTGATCGAACCACGGTGGTTGGAGAATTGATTCTTTGGGCTGAAAAAGATACTTGAGAAAGTATTGAACATATACTACCTGAGTTTTTCAAAAAAAAAAAAAAGTAGCTGGGGGAGTGTATTGTATAGTTTAATTTGCAATCAGAAGTTGAAATTTTAGAAAGAATTGAGAAGGCTGCAGTGTGATGGACTGTCCTAACCTCGCTAATTCACTGTAGATCCACCTGTAGATAGTAGTTAGGTAAGAATTGGTCTAAAATACACTAATCACCCTGCTAACAATCCCACCGGCTCTCTACTTTATTCCAAAAGTTTGGGATTATGATGGCCCTACTAGCACCCATTAACCAAAGGAAACCAAACATGGCATTAGGAAGGAATTTAGTCCGACCCCACAGCTCATTAACCTATCAAATCTTCATAGTGTTCGAGATCACACACTTGAATGTCTTTATAAGTTTCAATTGCATGTAGTAGTCTGTAGGCATATATTTACATACTAGTCTCCTCATGTGCTGAACGTTCAATATCTAATGGCAGCACAGCCTTTCTGATTGGACCTGGGCGGCAAATAACTATGATGCTTGATCCGGTTCGTGTCTATGCGACAGCTGTTTATGTAGGGTGTGTTGTCTTAGCCCTTATATGTGCACTTTGGGTAAGTATTGCACTTCCGTAAGGCTATGATTGTAATTCTAAATATGGAGTGAGAAAAAAAAGGTATTTGACTACTTAGCCAAATAATATGGGTTAATGTGATGATTTCTTGCAATAGTTTACATTTTTTGAATACATTTAAATATTACAGTACTTGAGACAAACTTGCTTTGCTCCTGATTTTTCTCTCTATTCTTCTGCCTATTGATACCCAACAAAATACTTAAATACTTCCATGTACATCAAAACGATGGTTTTTACTTCTTTCCTCGGTTTTCTGCATCACCATTGTTTTATATAATATCCGTCCTTAATTTTTTCTGATTCTAAATCCATTTTACAGATCCACAGCAAAATTCTAACAATGCTTGCAATCATATGTGAGGTCTGTGCCCTTATCTGGTAAGTTGTTGATCATCGATTTGTTCATTTCATTCTTCTAATAAACGGTTCTTTCAAGAATGTCACATGCTCTTTTATTACATTCGTCACTTGGTTCACGATTCTTGTTTAGCCAAGGCTCACAAACTGTGACTGTCTCCCCTCTCCTTGAGAGGTTGAACCAAACACAGTGTACTAGTAGTCCATCTAAATTCTAGAGCTGTATGCTTAAGGTGCTTGCTATTCGGGCTTCAAGGTTTAGCATTACTTTCTAAAGGTTTCTTTTTGTTGGGTTCATTCAGGTACAGTCTAAGTTATATCCCATTTGCGCATAAAATGCTTTCAGATGTGACAATGCGTCTTTTTGACACCGAAATCTAGATACTCCAGCACGGAAGAATTGTGAGTATGTTGATCCAAAGTAAAATTCATATAGATTTTTACTTGAAAATGTTTTATCTTTTTTTGGAAGCAATTGTTGAGGCATTCGAACTAGCTTTTCTCACTCTGCCACGTGCACACACACACACACTCTCTTTCAATGGCATGAAGCCTTTCTTTTGCTAGCTAGTGATAATATGTTACCCCACTTCATTTGTTTCTTGAAAGTTGGGAACTTCAGTTTGTTTGGTTTGTTGAAAGTGTTATGAGTTTCGACTTGTGATTGTAATCTTTAGCTGAAAGAAATGAATGCATCTTCTAAAGTACTACACCTTCCCATTACACTTTTGGGGTGACAAGGGAAACCCACAACCAGCCTTGTGACCCTAGCGGACAAAAGACCACAAGGAGGTAAACCAGTCTAGGTTGCCCATAGCTGACGAGTTCAAATCAAGGTTGGGATTTGAGCTCGTGACCTTGTGGTTATAAGTTTGTATCGTTAGCCATCTTGGCTGGGGTTTACCGCCACCTTCCCATTACACTTGTTTTGGTGATGTGTCCAAATTGTCAAAAAAAGTGTGCAATGCCCTCAACTTTGTCATTTCTTTGAGATGCATGTATACAATACATCAAATGTGCTAAATCTTGTTATGTTTCAGCGAAATGAAAGTAAATTGGGGAGCCTTTAACTTGCCCAAAATATGCTGTAATGCAAAGAGCCTTCAACTGTTCCTGGATCTTCATGGGACTGGGACTGGGACTGGGAGGCCCATTGGATTGGTACCATTTGGTAAAACTTACAAGAAAATGCTTTCTTCATATTCATTGTCTTTGTTTACATGTGAATTGATTTCCACCATTATTTAATCAAATGAAGCTACATTGTTCTTTAAGTAAAGCTTTTGGCAAATTATGCTTTATCAGGTTTATGCCACAACTTTTACACCTTTTTTTTTTTTTAATGGACAAGCTGTTGCTCATGTATGGCACATTACATTTATTGGTTGTTGTACAAAAAAGAAAAAAAATTGATTTATTCTTTTTAGATCAATCATAACATGCCGCGTAAATGAGAAATAAAAAGTAGAGTAAAACATGGAAATATGTGGTTCTTGTGCATATAATTGTTGTATCATCTGCAGTAATTCCCTGAAAATTCTTCATAATACAGCATTACAGCCATATATGCCATTTCACTGTGCTTATAAGAACCAGGGCCGGCCCTGGGGCAAGGGCAGGCTGGGCCCTTGCCCAGGGCCCATGGTTGGGGAGGGCCCCATCTTATCTCTTATACATAATATATATGTATTGAGTATAAATAATTTATATACATATATTTTATACTAAGGTGAATTAGCTTAGCTGGTAAGATATTTAAATTTTAACCTCCTTCAATCAAAGGCCGGTGATTCAATCCTTCCCTTTACATTTTAGAATTCCTCAACTTTACTTCTTTGCTTATATTATAATGTATCTTTTAAAAAATTATTTTTAATGATTTTTTGTGTTTAATACGGAGTAGTATTTTTAATGTAGTTTTTAAATATATAAATTTTCATAAATTTATACTAAACATAACAGGGCCGGTCCAATCATTTTCTAGGCCCGGGGCAGGACAAAAAAATGGGCCCCGGTTAATATATATTTCATGCCTAAGATTTAATTTAAATAAGAAAATAATTACTAATATCAATAACTTTAAATAAGATTAACAAGTTTTTAACAATTTTACAGCGACAATAATAATCATGAAAAAAATTCTAGGTGCTTTCTTTAATGTAAAATAATAAATAATCGTATAAGTGCCTTCATAAATAAATAATTATTATAGTTTATAAAAATGAATAAATAATTTAAAATCGAGTTAACTTATAAACAATAACATTGTTATCTTAATAAATAATAAATTAATTATTATTAAAAATTTATAAAACAATAATTACAAACATATGTGAAGCTAAAAATATTTTTTTGACTAGGAGAAAGAAATTAAAATATTTCAAAACGCAATAAAAAAGTTCAAAAAGATATGGAACATAATTATCTAGATAAAATAGTTTGAATATAAAGCATATTATAAATCACACATCTTCTATATTTATATGATTTTTATAAATACTTTTTCTTTTAACTAGATAAATTTCAAACTTTTTTACAATAATTTGAATACAATGACACATGATAGAAACTTCTATATTACATTGATTAGATATTCATAAAAATGTACGGAGTAAATTATCTTTTAATTTTTTTCATAATTCAATCTAAAAATATATCATATAACCCCCTCCGTCCTATTTTTATGTGTCTTGTTTGGTTAACATGAGTTGATTGAAGTTTTTTTAATTCAATTTTTCATAATATGTTAGTATAAGTATATAAAAATTTATAAATTTAGAAACTGCATTAAAATTTTAATATAAAAATTTATATATTTAGTATAATTTTTTTTTCATATTATGTTTAGTATAAATTTATGAAAATTTATATATTTAAAAACTACATTAAAAATACTACTCCGTATTAAACACAAAAAATCATTAAAAATAATTTTTTAAAAGATACATTATAATATAAGCAAAGAAGTAAAGTTGAGGAATTCTAAAATGTAAAGGGAAGGATTGGATCACCGGCCTTTGATTGAAGGAGGTTAAAATTTAAATATCTTACCAGCTAAGCTAATTCACCTTAGTATAAAATATATGTATATAAATTATTTATACTCAATACATATATATTATGTATAAGAGATAAGATGGGGCCCTCCCCAACCATGGGCCCTGGACAAGGGCCCAGCCTGCCCTTGCCCCAGGGCCGGCCCTGAAACATAATATGAAAAAAAAATTATACTAAATATATAAATTTTTATATTAAAATTTTAATGCAGTTTCTAAATTTATAAATTTTTATATACTTATACTAACATATTATGAAAAATTGAATTAAAAAAACTTCAATCAACTCATGTTAATCAAACAGGACACATAAAAATAGGACGGAGGGGGTTATATGATATATTTTTAGATTGAATTATGAAAAAAATTAAAAGATAATTTACTCCGTACATTTTTATGAATATCTAATCAATGTAATATAGAAGTTTCTATCATGTGTCATTGTATTCAAATTATTGTAAAAAAGTTTGAAATTTATCTAGTTAAAAGAAAAAGTATTTATAAAAATCATATAAATATAGAAGATGTGTGATTTATAATATGCTTTATATTCAAACTATTTTATCTAGATAATTATGTTCCATATCTTTTTGAACTTTTTTATTGCGTTTTGAAATATTTTAATTTCTTTCTCCTAGTCAAAAAAATATTTTTAGCTTCACATATGTTTGTAATTATTGTTTTATAAATTTTTAATAATAATTAATTTATTATTTATTAAGATAACAATGTTATTGTTTATAAGTTAACTCGATTTTAAATTATTTATTCATTTTTATAAACTATAATAATTATTTATTTATGAAGGCACTTATACGATTATTTATTATTTTACATTAAAGAAAGCACCTAGAATTTTTTTCATGATTATTATTGTCGCTGTAAAATTGTTAAAAACTTGTTAATCTTATTTAAAGTTATTGATATTAGTAATTATTTTCTTATTTAAATTAAATCTTAGGCATGAAATATATATTAACCGGGGCCCATTTTTTTGTCCTGCCCCGGGCCTAGAAAATGATTGGACCGGCCCTGATAAAAACACAATTATTGCAAGATCAAGACTACTTTTAGATCCATTTAGTCTACTCCTTTGGTCCCACTATGTCTATATTTAATATTTATTGATTAAACTATTTTTTTTCCATTTATAAGTTGGAATAGATGGGGTATTTAGTATTGCCATATTTCTTCTCCCAAAATGTTGAATTCCCAATCCACCCTCTGGGCTCCTTAAGACCCAACAGAGTATGTGGGAAGAGGTAAATCACCATTACTCAGTGACTTAGTAAACATGGTTAAATGCATGTGTGTACAAAGGATCTGTCCACTTTGGGCTTTGTATTGCCATACTTGATAAGGGTTTAGGGTGACTTAACTAAGCAAGCGCAAATTATGCCGTGCAATCGTGTGCACCATCAGTTGCAAAAACGGCGTCGTTTTGATTAAAAATGGCGTTTCCAACTTAAAAAAAAAATCAGTTTCGATTGTTGTTAATAGCGTTATGTGGTGCATAATTTGAATTATATATTCAGAATGATTTTTTTAAAGTCAGATATCAAAATGACGCTATTTTGCAACCATGTGTACCATGCATGGTGCACATGGTTGCACAGCATAACGCTCCCTAAGCAAGCTTTAACAACCCTTATAAGATTTTTGGCACTCTCAGTTCCCTTTTGGTTATATAGCAAAAATTATTTAAGACAGGGTGGACCCTTGAATGTGCATTCCATTCCATTCCACATTTCCACAAAAGTTATGCTGGTAAATGAAGATTCTGTTCCTAGGCAAGGTGTAGTGGAAAGACTTTCAAGTCCACCATAATAAAGTAAGGGGTGTATTCAATCATGACTTTTGTAGAGTTTTAAAGACTTTTATAAACTTTAAAAGTTTAGAGGTATTCAATTTAAACTTTTAGAGAGTCTTTAAAAGTTAAACGGTATTCAATCAAGATTTTTAAAGAGTCTTTAAAAGTCATGTGGTATTCGATTAAGACTTTTAAAGAGTCTTTAAAAGTCATGTGGTATTCAAAAAGTTGTGAACTTTTGTAGACTTTTTAATTTTAGGACTTTTGTAGACTTTTCATTCTCAAATATACATAGTTGAAATCCAACATCAAAGTTTTCTTTCTAACAATTCTGAATGTTTTCTCTCTCTATTTAAACTCTATTTTTTCTCCCTATTTAAACTTTATAAACCTATCTAAATTTAATAAAATTATTTTTTTCTTCATTATCCTATATTTTCCTCATACTTAAATTCTACCATTTTTTCTCTCTCTCCTGAACTTTACAATATTTCTCTAAATATTCAAAATAATATTATTTTTACTTCATTATTGCTTGTTTATATTGATTTTTATTTTTTCTATGAATTTTTCATCTCTAACTTTCTCTAGTTCTTCCTAAATACATGAACAAAGTAAATTTTTCATCGTCAAATTGTAGTATATGTTTCATAATATTCATATAAATACTATATATTTTGATTTTGATTTTTTTTTTTATGTTTATATTCGTAATATATATATATATATATATATATATATATATATATATTAACAATATGTTACTGCGAATAGCGAACTACTGTTCGCAACAACAATTTGGGGTTGCAAACAGTAGCACCTTGGTATATGGCCACCTTTTATCAAATTA